TCCGCGCTGGTTTTTTGTTGAAATGTTGCTCTCGCTGAAGCGCTGGTTTCATTTTCGGGCCACCGCTGGTTCCGAATCGCGCTGCCGCTGCAACGCTGGCTTCATTTCCGCGCTTCCACTCGTTCCGAATCGTGCTCCCGCTGCAGCGATGGCGTCATTATTTCCAATGCCATTCCACGGCACGGTTTTCGGTTCTTTCATATAGGGCCCATTTTTTATATACAAACAAAACCAAACAAACAAAGAAACCATCGGATGTGATTACACATTCGGTGTCGATTCGTTGATTTCTGGGGCCGCGGAAGCCCCCCCTGGGTGGCGTCGCCACGCCATGCTACGTCATGCTACGCGTTAATCTTCAACACCATGTTATGCCATGTAATGCCACGCCATGCTACGACATCCGATTGTGCGAGCAGAGAGAAGATCGACGCCATGGTAAGGGATGTGAGGGAGGGGTAGGACGTCAGATATGACGCGAGCGCACCTAGCTTGCCAGAATCCCTCACCCGCATGCTTCCGGACCTTCCGCCCGAACCTTCCGGCCCTTTCTCGATATGATTGATGTGGGTTTCTCTGAATTGCGTAAGATCTCCATGAGTTTCGAAGAATTCTGCCGCACCTTTTCCGCGGAGGTCGGAAGGCGTGGACGGTCGAGGTGGAGGAACCTTTGGCCTCCGCCTTCCACACCTGCCGACCAGCAGGTGGCTGATTTGGAGGATGGCATGGACTCGGCGTCACCCCAACATACTTATACTATACTTGGTTCGTCACCCCAGGGGCGACGCGTGCACCGAGAAATCTTATAGTATATGCCTCGTGGCGGGTGCTTTCTGGCCACACCGCTCGGGAAACGATATACCATGAGATGGGTCGGAGGTTGGGGGGTGAGTCCGACGTGAAACGGAGACCTTCCTACCAGGAAATCGATTTATGTTTCGGGTTCGTGTCGTGCGTGCCGTGCGTGCGTGCGGGCGAGGCGAGGCTGCGTGGGCGGGCGAGAGGGAATCCTCCTGTGGCTGGGCCGCGGCCGGGCCAACTGTTTCTCCTCCGGCGGCCGGTTGCCCGCGGTGTCCCGCTGGTGTCCCGCTGGTGTCCCGAAATCCTCCTGTGGCTGGGCCGCGGGCGGACCACATCGCCACATCACATCACGCTCACGTGCACAATCACACTACTCACTAGACTCCGCCCGACAGGCATCGTCAGAACAACAAGCACCACTTTTGCCCGTTGCTGCCCCCCCAACCTCCTTATCACCCGCAGGGTGGTCCTATAGGTAACTATCTGTTCGGGTCGGACGCGCGCCTCCAAGGAGGACATATAATACTCTTATGTCTCCGTGCGTCCCGTAGACATTCGCTTTCGGAGCTCCGCATGCAGCTCCCTCTGCCCCTCGAGAAGATCCATCAATCTGCCACTGGCTGGTCGGAAGGCGTGGGAAAGGCGGAGGGTCAGGCGAGGGGCCCGTCGGCCTCTTCCCAGACGCCCTCGCGCCGCGAGGAGGAGCGCATGTCGCTGCGCCGCGTGTTCCGCCGCGCGGCCCAGTGTCTTGGGTTAGGATGCTCCAACCTACTTTAGCTTTGACCACCAGAAATCGGCCACGCGCAGAAGGGGGTGGGGGGAGGGGGGGGGGCTTCTTAGAAGCACCCTGCTTGTAAGAAGGCGCGGGCCTTATCTACAGATGTAGGCGCCTTCTAAGAAGCAGCCTCCTTCTAAGAAGCCCCCCCCCTCCCCCCATCCCCCTTGTGCGCGCCGCCAGAGAGAGAAGTTCGAGCGCCAAAACAAAGTACCGAAACTCAAGGGTTTCCCCGTGCCGGGCCATGGGCGACACTCGCCCGACACCGTCTCGGCACTCTTTTGACACCTTTCCCGGGGGCTCGGAGTTGTTTTTGGGATGCGGTCCTTAAGTAATGGAGGATGACGATTAATAAGTGACCGGGGGTCGTGTTCACGCGGCGGCGCCCGGGATGACGATTAGAAAAAAACGGCCGCGGGCTGGAAAACTATTTTTTAAATCGTTCTCCTCCAGTCAGACACTTGTGCAGAAATAGCAGGCACCTACGTTTTTAATCGTTTCCCCCCCCATGTTTTATTAATCGTCATCCCGCAGTAGGATGGGAACAACCTAAGTCTTAGGGAGAGCGCCTCGGCCACCAGGGCAAGCGCCGCCTCGGACGCCGGGCGTGCCGCAGGTGTGCCGCGGCGTCGGCCGGTTTGTGTCGCATGGGCGCGCGGAGAGCATGACGGCGCGGCGGCGCACGGAGAGCGGCTTTGGGTGGTCTTCGGCCTCTGAGGCCCTTCGCGTGTCCCGGGGCCAGCAGGAAGCGGCTTAGGTTATGCTGTTCCAACCTACTTTAGCCTCGATCGCCAGAAAGAAGTTCGAGCGCCAGAAAAGTACCCCAACATTCGAAGGTTTGCACGTGTCGGGCCCTGGGGGACACATTTCCGACACTCTTTCGACACTCTTTTGACACTTTTCCAGGTGCTCGAACTTGTTTCTGGGATGTGGTCCTCAAGTACGATGGGCGCAACGTAAGGCTTGGGGTGGAAAACGCTGATCCCCTGGGAGGGGGTCCAGGCTTCTGGGTGTGCATGTCGCGAGAGAATCATGACGTCGGAGGTCTGGGTCGGAAGAACGTCCACGCGATGTGCCATGAGTGGGCGATCGGGGGTCGATGCGTCCCCTCCTGAGCCTGGCCTTCCATCCAGCGGTTGTCGGGCCATAGCATGAAGTCGGGCCTGTCCCTCTACAGGGGGACATTTCAGAAATAGTCAAACATAGTCTGGGGACGAATACTTTTATATAATTCTGGTATGTTGTTGCTCTTCAATCGCTTCGCTCGCTCCGCGGGCCCTTATTGCATGATCGCTACTGCTTCGGCGCGGTCTCGGGGCCATTTCGGCGCCGCCGGAAGGAGGAAGATGAGGATTGGGAGGCGGAGGGGAGGAGGAGAAGAAAATGAGAAAGAACGGAGGAGGATGAAGATCATTATGAGGGGGAGGAGGAAGAGAAAAGAGCTGAGTAGGAAGCCTCTCGATAGCATCTTGCGGCGCTCTTGGGGCCAAACAAGGCCGTCGTCCAGATGCTTCTTTGAGAGGCCCTGGGGTCTGTTGAGAGGCCGTTCGGGGGCGCCTAGAAGACATTTGTGAAGACTTGTAGGGCCTCTGTTGAGCCTCCTTGGAGCCTCCTGGGGTGTCTTGGGGGCCTCTTGGCGGCATCGCGGGCCATCTTGGGGGCCTCTCGGGGCCTCCTGGGGCCCTTTTGGGGCGGAAGGCTTGAGGTTTCGGTTCGTGGTCCCCATCTTGGGCCCCTCTTGGGGCCGTCTTGGGGCTCTCTTGGGCCGTCTTGGGTGTCTCTTGGGCCGTCTCGGGGCCCGTTTGGGCTCTCTGGGGGCCTCCTTGGGGGCCTCTTGAGCCGTCTTCGTGCGCTCTTGGGGGCCTCTTGGGCCGTCTTGGAGCATCGGAAAGCCGAAAATGCGACAAGGCCAGAATCCTTCCAAAACCATCGTAAAATTAATGATTTTGGCCTCTCGGGGCGATCTTGTGAGGCCTCTTGGAAGCCACTTGGAGCGTCTCGGCGGCTTCTTGGGCCGTCTTGGGATCATCTTCGGCGTCTTGGAGCGTCCTTTGGGCGTCTCGGGGGCCTCTTGGGCAGTCTTGGGGGCCTCTTGGGGCCCTCTTGGCGCGCTCTGGGGTGCCTGAGAGGCCGTACCCAGGAGGAAAACCATATCTGAGTAGACCTTCCCGGGACCTTCCCGGGACCTTCCTGGGCTGCGGTCGGGGTACTTTTCGCGGGGGTACTTTTCGCCGCCCCGCGCGCCCGAACTAGAAGAATTGTGAACCAGTTCCGGAGATCTTAGCACGCCTCTGGCCCTTTGGGCCGGCGAATTTTATGTTTCCCCCAAAATGCGCCTGTAAGGGAGACATGCCCGACCTAACCATAGCATGGGCCTCCGTCGGCCGTTCGGGACGAGACGGGCACTCCCGGAGCGCCTCTCGGCGAGGCGCAGCCGGTGGAAGGCAGGCCGGAACGCCGCCGAGGGCCGACGACATCGCCCGACAGCCCAGAACCTCGGAGCATCCCCCACCCCCAGTGTCCCCCAGTTTCGCCCGCCCGTAACGCTCCTCCCCCCTCAGTTTCCCCCATCGCGGACAGCCCGAAACTTCGCCCGCCCTCGACGACAGTTTCCCCCAGCTCCGCCCCGGCTGGCCGGCGAGGCCCGAGCTCCGCCCCAGCGTCAAGGAGGTCTTCCCGATCCTCCTGGGCATGGAGGGTCAGACCGCCCCGGCCAGGCCCTCGGGCGGCTCCTCCGGCGAGGACCGGGCTGTGCCAAGGGGGGTCACCGGCGGGGGGGGTGCGACTTCGAGGTCTGGGATCCAGGACCCTCGGATCCGGGCGGTGCCAGCTTTGTCACACGGGGCGTTTTCGCCCAGATCCGGGCCCGGGACGATCACAGATCGCTTCAGCTCGGGAAAAAAATGACAACGATGGGGTCTATGGGGCTCTGGTCCCGACTTGTTTTTACGACGTTGTAAGTTTCTAGCAGCGCCAGATCTGAGGGGGGAGTGGGGACACAGTGTCGAGGAGGTGCTGGACGTTTCTGGACGTCGTTGAGAGTCCCGAAGGGCTCTGGGGGGTCAGGCCCAGACCCCCGACGTCATGATTTTTTCACGACGTGGACATTAGAGGTCTGGACCCTTACCCGGGGACGGGCTTTTCATCCTGAGCCTTTTCTTTGATGCCACAACTTTGAAGGGCCCCCAGTGGACGAAAACGGCCAAACACCGTTCCGCGTGAGTCTCTCACTCGGGGGCGGTCTTGGGGGGGTCTGCTTCCTGAGAGAGCTGGTGGCATGTCGACCCCCTCGGTGGTGACCCGCCTTGTCGCTGCCCTGGAGGAGTCGGCACCGACGCCGCCACAGGTCGGGGGGCATGCAGAACCCAGACAACCAACGTTTGCAGGGCGGTAGGTTCGCGTCGTGTCGACCGGCGGCGACAATGCCGGCGACGTTCAACGTTGAACGCCATGGGAGACCCAGATGTGGAACGATTTGGACGTTTCGGAAGCGGCCGATCGTTCAAGGTTGAACGATCCACGCGGTGTCAGAAACCAACGCCGAAATCGGCACGACACGACACTGCCGTATTGGTTTGTCGTTTTTATTCTCTGGGTGGTCAGTCGGCGGTCGGTTGCTTGGCTGGCTGGCTTGTGCATGTACTGGCTGGTTGGTCGGGAGCTGGACGTTCACCTGGTCGGTTGGACGGACGGGTGGTTGCTTGGTCGGTCGGTTGGTGGGTTGGTTCGTCAGTTGGGTGGGTGGTCGGTGGGTCGGCCGGTTGGCTGGCTGGTCGGCCAGCTGGAAGTTGGCCGACCAGACTGCTGGCCGGTCGGTTGGGTGGCTGGCTGTGGCTCCCTCCCTTCGGAGGTTGCCAGAGGGGTTCGTTGGACAAGGTTGGTTTCGCCTCCCTCCTCCTCCTCCTCCTCCTCCTCCTCCTCCTCCTTCCCCCCTCTGTGCCCGAGTCCGGGGGCTGTGCAGGCTTTTTGCCTTCGTGGCTGCACTGCTTGTGGATGTTGGTCAGGCAGCCCTCCTGAGGGGCAACGGATCGGGCGGGCTGCGTGCTGGACCAAAGTACGTTGGTTTGACTAGTCCTGAGGCCCCTAGGCCTGACCTGATGCCCCACAGCTCAACCTGAGGCGCCCCAACAGCCGTCGAAGTCACCCTTCTTGAACCAGACCTTCTCGACGTTCCCGATCCCTCCCTCCCTCCCTTCTGGCCCGTGCGACGCAAGATGGACGCACACACATCTTGCGTCGGCGGCGGGGCAGGGGTCGTCTTCGCCAGCGGAAGTGTGCGGGCTCCCCCAGCAGCCCTCGAATCTGGCGACATGTCGCTTTTCGTACCCCCCAGCAGCTCTCGAAAGTGGCGACCGCTTCACACATGGCAGCCCCCAAGAGTGTGCGCGAGGAGAGCGCCGAGAGGAAAGTGGGCGGAGGGGGCGAGGAGGAGGAGGAGGAGAAGATGGAGACCCCGTTGCTGTATCCAAAACGAGAACCCAACCAAGGAATGGTTCGGAATTCATAGGTGTCCTACGTGTTGCTCCATGTTGTTTTTTTTCAACGGGTTGCTCCATATGTTTCGCGTCTCCACCTCTTCGGCGGCCCGACGCCGAGACTGCCCAAGAGGCCCCGCGGATCGCGCTGGCGCCCCACGGCCCAGAGGCCCCTCAAGATGGCCCAGGAGGCCTCTGGGACGGCCCAGGAGGGCCCTCCCGGAACACCCCAAGACGGGCCCCAGAGGTGGAACACGGCCGTGCATGTCAAGCGTTCCGCCCCCAGAGGCTCCCAGGAGGCCCCAGGAGACCCCTGCAGACCCCCGAGAGACCCCCAAGAGGCCCCAAGAAGCTCCCAAGAGGTCCCGAGGAAGGCTCGAGGGGCCCCCAAGGGGGCCCCACGACTGCATGGCTGGAGACGCCACGACAAAGCGCCACAGCGTCAAACAGACAACACGGGAACCAACATACACGCCAGCGACACACGGACAATACGGTGGGGTCCAAGTTGCGAGCTATCCAGTCATCCCCGTCACCCGACTACATGCTCGAAGGCTTCATCGCCGTCCCTACTTCCAGCCTCCTTCCAACGCCCTCCCTCCCTCCGCCTCCCCTCCTTTCTCCTTCGTCCCTTCTCTTCGCCCCCGAGAGACTCTCACAACGGCCCAAGAAGCCTCCCAGAAGCCTCTCCAAAGTCACCGTCGTCGCCGTCGATCTCTTGAAGGCAACTCCACTCTCCCCATCCGTCTGCCCCTCCCCGCTCGTGTGTCTACCCTCCTCCATCGTCTCGCTTCTGAGCTGTCTGTGTCCTTCTCCTCACACTTTGTCCTGCACCTCCCCAGGAGGCCCCGAACAGACCTCCAATGGGAAGCGCATCATACGGGAACCGCACTGGGCCGCCCTGCTTGCGTCCCCTTCCGTGCGTATTCCGATGAGTCTCGCCAGTCTTGCCCATGTGCGATCAGCGGTCGAGAGAACTCGTGACCGCCTAAAACGCCCGTGTTAAAGGGCCCCAAGACGGCCCAACAGACCCGCAAGAATCACGAGCCTTACCCATTCGCCCAAGTACGGCCGGCCAAGCCCCCTGTGACGGCCGTGAAAGGCCCTCCCGAGGGCCCGAAGACAGCCCACAGCCACCGCAAGCACAGCCTCTGAAGGTGTGCCAGGCGGCGGGAGACGCGCGCAGCTCCCCAAAGCGCCGGACTGATCGGCGCCTTCCCGGGCGCCCGCGGCTGCGCGGGGCGCCTGCTGTCCGCTCGTCAAAAAAGCCAGGCGGCGGGAGAGTACCCAGAGACTGACCGGGAGCTTTGAAGAGGCCCCGAGAACACCACCAGACACGGCCCTGCGTCCCTACATACTTCTCGGGGCAGGGCTGGGGACGGCTTCGGGTCTACGACCAAGTCCGCCGTGAGCAGCAGCAGCAGCAGCATCAGCAGACGCCCACAAGTGCATGCACCCGAAAAACTTCCCAGGTGCGCCTCAGAGGACCCGACGGGCACACTCTTCGAGGCGACTGGAACCCCAACAGGGCCCCCGGCAAAGCACACGAGCCTCCAGGACGCTCCAAGATGATCCCAGCAACAGCACGAGACGAACACCATGATGAACGCGTATGTCTTCACTGGAGCTCATCCCCGTCGTCAAATCGGGCCCCCGAGAGGCAGATCCTTCCTTGCCCCTGCCTCCCTCACAAATCATCCCCCACGTGAGCGACGCTGTGAAATGATTGCGACGCAAGCGTTTCAGGGTGATGCGATGAATGGCCTGGCGAGCGGCCGCCTAAGATTGCAGATGGGCGTCCCGGCAGCTCGCGCTGCCTTCTGAGCACCCGTCTCCCTGCGGACACGTCCGAGCGGCGGCCGCCTCTTGCTCGGCATCTTGCTCGGCATCGCTCGGACGTGTGCACTTTTCCGCGGCACGGACCAACTCGCGAACAAAAGGCCCGCACGGGGCCGAACCAAACGGTAGACGGGCGAACGGCGAGACAGGGGACGGCGGTGCAGGTTTCGGTCATGCCGAAGCGCGTGGCTGGCACTTTCGTGAAGTTCGCTCTCCTCCTCGTCCTCCTCCTCCTCCTCCTCCTCCTTGGCCTCCTCCTCCTCCTCGTCCTCCTCCTCCCCCTCCTCCTCCTCCGCCTCCTCCTCGGCGCACCGCCGCGCAGTGGCACGCGCCGCCGGTCTTCGGCGTCTTCGCCTTCGAGTCGGAGCACGCGTTCTCTTCCATGACCATGAGGAGCACCCCCTCCACGCAGCTCGCCGCGGTCCTCGGCCACGCGCGCATGGGGGCAGGGGGAGGAGGAGGAGGAGGAGGAGGAGGAGGAGGAGGAGGAGGAGGATGAGGAGGCGGAGGAGAGAGGAGGAGAGGAGGAGGAGGAGGAAGGGGAGGAAGAGGAGGAGGAGAGGAGGGAGGAGGAGGAGGGGGGGAGGGGAGACTTCTGAGAAGCAACCCCGCTTCTTAGAGTGCGCGGGCCTTGTCTGTAGACGTAAGTCCGGTGCCCCTCCACGCAGCTCGCTGCGGTTCTCTAGGCCTCCTAGATCGAGTCCGAGTAGATGGGGTCGGAGGGTCGCGCCGCGTCGCCGATGCATAGCCGATGCGGCTCGATGTGGAGCCATATGTGCTTCACGCCGACGTCGCCGATGTATCACCCACGTCGACGATGCATCGCCAGTGCATCGCCGATGCATAACCGATACATCGCCGATGAATCGTCGATGCGGCGCAAGCCTCCGACCCCATCTACTCCGACCCCATCTAGGAGGCCTCCAGGTTCTCGGCCAAGTACACATGGGGGCATGGGGAGGGGGGGAGGCTTCTGAGAAGCACCCCCGCTTCTCAGAGTGCGCGGGCCTTGTCTGTAGATGTAAGGCCGGCGCCTTCTAAGAAGCAGCCTTCTTCTAAGAAGCCTTCACACCTCCCCTCTACCGCCCTCTGCATGCCGCCAAGGTGCCCGAATCCGCCGTCGTGATTCCCTCCAGCCCCGCGGACACGGGGCTGGTACATGGCGAGCGGCTGGTTCACAGCTCGTACCTCCCCACCCCCCATGAGACGTTGCTGAAGGCTGTCGGCTTCGTGCTGATGCAGTCCAACCACGGCGTCGACGCCAGCGAGGGGTGCTGCTGGATGCACGCTGGTCTTCGGAGGCTGAGGATAGTATGCAGTGAGATGCAGGATGACATAACGAAAGCCGGCCGCACCGACGACTCTTTCTTTCCTTTTCTCTCTTTCTCTCTCTCTCTCTCTCTCTCTCTCTCCAGTTTTGGGTTTCCTGGGAGGCATTCGTCGCCACGGGTGGATGCATACGCATCGTAACTGTTGTCAGGAAGCACTCCGGGAGAGGTCGGGGCAGCTGCGGTATTCGGTGCTCCTGCCAGGAGATGCCGTGCGACGGCTGGGACGTGCCCGTCAGTGGCCACCGAAGTGGACAAACACATACGCGTAAGCATTCGGATCGGGGGAGCGTAAGACCCAGGTTTGCCAGGACTCGGGTTCGCCATCGTTTTTTGACGACCGCGCATCGGATTTTGACGAGGAGGAGTTTCGTGGGATGTCTGCAGCGGGAGGCCTCGTCACAATGCAGGCTCGGCCTCGTCATTTTTTTGACGACCTCGTCGGGGATTCCCGAGTCCCCTGTACCCGGGTCTTACGCCCCCCTGATCGGAGGTCGGCGCGGATTTCTTGGATCCAGCCCCCCCTCGGCGGCGCCTCCAGGACCATCGAAGGCGCGCTCGGCGCGCCAGGGGAGTCGGGGTGACCGCCGATCCGAGGAGTCCGCGCGGTGATCCCAAAGCTCAGGTGTATGCCGTTGATTGTGACCCCAGGCCAGTGCAAAGATTGTCGACTCCTGTGCATCGACGGTGGTGCAAAGATGGGTGCCTGCAACTTTTGCGGGGGGGGCATATCAGATCCCCTGACTGCCGAGGCTCGCCCTTTGGACTTGCATCGGAACTAAAGTGAGCAGCCCTCGGTGCCCAGGCGACATGTTGAGCGCCCATCGTCTTGCGTTCACAATGGGCGACGAAGTTCGAGCATTGCGAGTTTGTCTGCAGCTTAGACTTCGTGGACCACACACCCGTCCAGTTCTTTTAACACGCTGGTGGCCATGCGCTGGTCAGCTGTCTCGGTTGACCTGTCTGTACAGAGCCGTTTCATGCATCCAGTTATTGTGACCTTGCGCAGCCTGGCCAGGGTGGCGAGTGCTGCTGTTTTCTTTCGTCGAAGTCAGGCAAGAAAGCCAGCCTCCTCAATTGGTGGCCATGGGGTCATTCTCTGCACCACGACAATGTGACGCATCGCTTGCCACACCAGAGGCCCCCCTTTGTCTGGGCCTCCAGTGCCACTTCACACGATTTCTTCACAGGGCATGGAGTGCATGAACGAATCATCCGTTGTCGTGTTTCGAGCGTCGCTCTGTGTTACAATTGCGTCTGCACGGCGTTTCTGATCCGTTTTCGGACATCTCTTGTTGCAGCTGTTACGTCTGCTGAGACCTGTCCCATTCCTTAGGTGCGCATGGGACATGGTGCAGCCCAGTGCTAGTTTTGGAGTCCAGCGCAACCTCCTTGCGCGCCAATGCCCTCCAGCCCATACATCATCTTCCTTTCCCTGGTCTCTCCTCCCCTGCTCGCTCACCGATCGCTTTTCCTCAGTGAGCCGCAGGCACCGACTGGGTGCCCTACGTCAGGGCCTCACGGCAATCATCACTCCGAAGACGCGCGCGCACGGGGAGAGGACGCGGCACGGCTGTGTGACTGAGCTGGCAGGCGGCCACCCTAGCGTCAGTCGAGGCGGTGTTGTCCCCCGACGCGGTCTCCGTTCTGAAAGTTGCCGCAGGCCGCTGTCCTCTTCTGCCGTCTCATGGTACGGCGGTGGCAGCGGTGAGCGCTTGCGGCCTCGCCCCTGGCATTGGCCACAGGTCGCCGCGAATGGCACAGACTGGTGCTGATCGGTGCAGAGTCTGCGATGGATTTCTGAGGGCGTCTGAACGTCAGGGCCCGGCTGACTTTCCGAGCACGACACGTCTTGCACCGTTGCCTTCTTGGCGATTCCACCCAGGCTATACAGGGTGTTAGGCGCAGGCGACCCTTGCTCTGCTGCATCCTGCAATATGGCGGTCCTGTCGATGTCTCCGAGAGGGCTCGGAAAAGCTATTGTGGGGACGCATGGCCCCCCCCCCCAATCCTCACTCCCCTCTTCGACGCCCCTGGTTGTCCGGCCATCACTCGGGCCTCCTGCGGCCGTTCGGGACGATCTTCGGGCCGGGCGAAAGGGGGGGATTGGGAAAGGGGGGGTTACGAAATTTGCTGCATGCAGCTGGTTTCGGCCTCACCGAGGGGCCCATTCCTCGATACATAGCCGCCTCCGGCGCCGGGAGGCGCCCAGAAAATCAGCTACGTGAGCTGATTCTCAAACCCCCCCTTTGCTATCCCCCCTTTCGCCCGACCCGAGATCTGGGCAGCCCTAGAAAGATTTCGACGAGGCGCAGTTTGTGGAACGCATCCCAAGGCTGGAACACTGCCGAGGACCGCAGTCTGAGCACAACGACAGTCGCTCCTCGCGGTCTAGGCTGGAGAGTCTGTCCACAGTGTGCAGCGCGAGCGCGCGAAGAGGCCCATACCTCCAATGTCTTGAGTTAGATTCGCGAATTGACTACAAGTGGTCCATCGGACAACCTGCCGAAATCTTAAAAACATCTTCGGCCGGAAACTCAAACTCCAAAAACATGTTAGATAATTTTGAATGGGAAACTCAAAATCCAAGACGACCTGAGAAAATCTCAAACGCAAAACCTAGGGAAAACTCAAACACAGAAGAAACTACAGAAAAGCTTGAAGCCGAAACCTGGGAAAAAATCAAACCCATCAAAAACTTAGAAAAACGTGAAGATCAAACCCGAAAAAAAAAACTCAAACCCGGAAGGTGTTGGTTGTATTGTTGTTTATTTTCTTTGTGTGTTTTAAAAGTTTTTAGAGTGTTCCCAGAGTTTTTCAGTGTTGTCCAGAGTGTTGTATAACGTTGTTTCACGTGTTTCAAGCGTTTAGGGTTTTTTTGGGCGTTTCTTCCGAGTTGTTCTAGAGTTTCCAGTCGTTTGAGTTTTCCCTAGTTGCTTTTAGAGTTTGTTTTATAGTTGTTTGAGTTTCCCCAGAGTTTCCCAGAGTTTTTCCATAGTTGTTTCCAAAGTTTTTCCCCAGATTTCGGCTTATAGATTTTCTGGAGTGTTTGTTTGGTTTGAGTTTTTTCCCCAGGTTTGAGCTTCAGGTTTTATCTATGTTTTTGTGGGTTTGAGTTTTTCGCAGGTTCGGTGTTTGAGTTGCTTTTCAGGATGTCGACCTCCCCAGGTTTTGGTTTCAAGATTTCCTGGTGCTTTTTGTTGGTCCGGGCTGTTTGGCCCGAAGTGGTCGTGGACCGCCTGTAGTCGCAACTCACGAACCTGAGTCTTGGGCTGATCCCTTGCGCAGGCCCAGGAGCTCTCGACCTCCTGCGTCGCCGCACGGGTGCCCCGCAGCCCAGGCACGGCCCTCCGGAGGCCGCCGGCGGCGAAACCCTCCGCCCCGAGCCTGGGCACGAGGCTTGCGAGCAACCCGTGCTGTCGGAAGGCACCCTCCTGTCCTTCGCGCCTGGGCCCTCCCTCTTGGCATGGTTCCCGATGTGGGTGCCTGCGTGGGGCCTCGGGCCCTCGGCGGAGGGGCGCGCGTGCCGTTGCCCCAGCCCTCGCGTGGGCAGTCTGCCCAGACTTCCGACGCCGTGACCGTGTCACAGCGTGGGTCCTCCTGTGGCTCTCCCTGGCCCTCCTCCCCCTGGCCCTCCTCCCCTTGGCCCTCCTCGTGGTTTTCCCCTCTCGCCCCTCCCCCGCTCGCGTCGTTGTTCGTCGTCGTCCCTCGTTCGTCCGTTGTCCGTCGTGCCACTGGGCTCCTTCGTGGAGGAAAAAAAAGGTGTCGCAGCATTGGTCTTCAGAGGTCTCGACCCCCTCTCCGGGACCATCTTGCCATCCCGAGTGGTTCGGTTGACGGTCCCAGGGCCCAGCAGGGGCCCCCAGAAGCCGAGCCTTGGGCAACGTTTGCCAGCGTGGACCCCACTCGGTGCGCATGGCAACCTGCATTCCCAGGACAGGTTTCAGTCGGGCCTGCCCCCCTACAGGGGGAATATCCAAAAATAGTGGAAAATAGTCTGGGGACGATGTTTTGATCATTTTGTAACCATGTTGGGGTATTTTTTGGCTATTTTTTACCTTTCGTCGAAAATCCCCCTGTAGAGGGACACGCCCGACTTAAGGATAGGTGCAATCTCAGTGGTGCCATATACGTGGTGTAGAATTTGCGCTGCAAGCTCTACAGTGGAACGTTTGCAGTGCAGCCTGCCTGGCGCAACGTCCGTGGTACGAGCCACATGGGGGGGCAGTGTGTGTGGCGCGAGCTGCGGGCGGGCGCGCCTCCTTCTGCGTTTGCTGCTGCTTCTGCTGCTGCTTCCTCCCTTCCTCTCCCCCCTCCCCCTTCTGCTCTCCTCCTCCTCCTTTGCCGCGGGGCGACCTCTCGAGCTAGTAAAAAAAAAGTGTGGCGCGAGCTGCAGTGCACACTGCCTGGTGCACTCTGTGTGGCGCACACACTGGCCCCACCTCGGCACGCACCGGCGCGGCCCACGTGGGCACACGCAGGCCCCCACCAGGCGAAGCCTCGATGGACAGGGCCGGCGCACGGGGCGCCCACGACCGGCAACCGGCCGGGCGCTCTATAGGCGAGCCCCCGGGGCGCCCACGACCAGGCGGCACCCCAGCGGATCCACCCAGTTCACGGGGCGCCCACGGGACGCCCACGGCCTCCTCCCTCCTCCTCCTCCTCCTCCTCCTCCTCCTCCTCCTCCTCCTCCTCCTCCTCCTCCTCCTCCTCCTCCTCCTCCTCCTCCTCCTCCCTCTCCCGGGGTCAAAGCTGACCAGCTTCCCGAGACGCGTCCAGCTTTCTTTCCACCCCGGTGGGCCCATTCCATCCAATGACCGATCAAGCAAAGCAAGACCCCATGAGTGCATGCACTGCTTGGGGAAACTTCTGTTCCGCCGCGTGAGGAGCTCTGGCTTCCGACTCTTCTCTTCGGTGGCCGATCGCAGCAATTCTGGGACCCATGGAGCAATCTCCACGAGGCGCAGCTGTTGGAAAGCATTCCGATGCGAGAGAACTCTGGAGAATGTCGCGCGCACGCAGTGTTTCTTAATTCGACTCATCCATGCTTATCCGCTCATATCCAGGCTTGCTTTGATTCGCGTCCAGCGTCACCTCCACTTGCTATTCATACAGAGTTCCACCCGCACCCAGGTCCGATCGTGATCAGACACTTGGACATGGAAGCGTCCGAATGAGATGCGTATGTGCGCCCATGTTTGTTTTGGGAGCCCCGTGGCCACCACGATGCAGGAGGCGCGGCAGGCAGTTGTGCACTTCAGTGGGGGGTCCGCCAGAAGGTAGCGAAGCAGGAGGCGCGTCACCAGGAGCATCCCAAGGGGACGCCAACATGGAATGCTGCATTTGCACATTTGCGATTGTGGTGACGTCTGAAGCAAGCGCTGGTTTTGCACCCCGACCCCTTTGTATTCAGAGCCCCCTAATAGCCGCGATGTAGCACTCACCTCGACATCCCAAGGGGGGAATCGCCAGGGGGTGTTACAATCCCCCGTTCGCGGCCCAATTGCCCAGAAGTCTCGAGCGAATCTCCGTTCCCCCCCTAACCCCCTAGACCTTCCCCTGAACCTCGACTCGCCTGTTTTTCGCCACATGCTTAGTGGGGTTCTGGTTTTCTTCCTGCCTCGTCGCACCCGCGGCCCTCACACACCGCACCCGCGGCCCTCACACCCACACACCCCCTCCTTTCACACAGCGCAGCACAGCACAGCACATCGCAGCACAGCACAGCACAGCTCAGCACAGCACAGCACAGCTCAGCACAGCACAGCACAGCTTAGCTCAG